TTGATTAAGTCCATAGGTTAAGCCACAGTGGTATGCACTGCTAAGAGGCTGCTCCACAGGTTGGGACTATGAAAGGCTCAGGTTTGATTCACAGTCCAACCGAATTCCAGGTATGGTGGCATACACCTGTATTCCCAGGACTTGGAAAAAGAGACAGGAAGGTCATGAGCTCAAGGATGGTCTGGAAAACATAGTGAGACCTGTCTGAAAAAGAGCTGGGAGCCAGCCACAATGGCACAAGTGCTAGGGGCTGTTGCATGAAGCTGGAGTTACACGGGAGGCCCACTCAAATCCTGGGCCAAACCTGAATAGGCTGGCAGACTATCCTATAATCCTAGATAACTGAGATCTGGAGCTGAAGATCTCAAAAGCAAAACTTTCAAAATCACTTATCATTTTCTCTTCCCTTCCCTCTTTCTGCTCTCTCTTACTAAAGAAAAAAAAAAGGCATATGGCATACATATCCGTAATTTCAGCTGGGAGGATAGGACAGGAGGATCGTAACAGAGACCTTGTCTTCAAAAAAAATGAGTTAATTTTTAAAAATTTATAACGAATTCTGTTAAAATGGAATAATGTTCATGCTCATAGGGAAGTTAAAATAAAAATCCCAGAAAGGATTTGGGTGAGTTATCATCTTCTCTCAGGTTCAATTTATTGTTTTTCAATCAATAAAATAGGGATGGCCACTTCTTAAGGTAGCGATAAAAAGATAACTCATGAAAAATTGTATTCTTATTGTTACTTTTGCGATGAAAGAAGCAAACAATTATACATATAGTATTACTTCAAAATTGCTAAACATGGCCACCTCTGTGGGCTACCAGTATTGCTCTGCTCAAAACATGTCAGATCTCATAGGGTCACCTCGGTTCAAATCCCCAGCCCATTTGGTTGGAAACCCACCAAGTATGCATGCAAGTGCCCAAGAGCTGACAGGCTGGAGGGCTGGAGGAAGGAGATCATGGCATGACCAGGCCCATTGTTCTCTCTCACACTCTCTCATGTCTCTATGTACACAAGCATACTCTCATGATTTAAGAAAAAAGAAAATAAGTAAAATTGCTAAATGCACATAGAAAGAAAGAAAAAAAGACTGAAAAAGGATGCACCAAATGGTAACACTGTTTATTTCTGAGTGATAATGAGTTTGAATCATTTTTATTTTCATCTTTCAATTTTCAAATTTTTAAATTGTCTTTAATGATTACTTTTTTATTTCAGTTAGAGAAGGATACACACACACACATGCATGCATGCATGCACACATATACATACAAAATGTCTCCCATCTAAAGTCCCTGAGGGAGACCTTGATGGAAGCTGGTCTCCAGAGGCAATTAGGTGGCAAAGATAATCTCACTATTTTCAGAACAAAGCTCTCTGATCGGAGACGTCACCCATTATAAGCATCTTTGAGATGCAGCACATCTAGGCTATGGTATTTTTCTGTTATTCAGGAGTTTGAAAGATACATGTTTGGGTTGGGTTCTACCACTTAACAGTAGAGAGGGTTAATTATTCAATCTTTCTGTGGCTTTGTTGCCTCATCTGTAAAGTGGGAATAAAATAATATTTAGCATCTACAGGGTCATCAGGAAAGTCATGGCGCATTTTTGCATAGAGAAATATGTTGTGACTTTTCAACGACCCAATAGGTTTGTGAGAAAACAAGTGAGAAAATTAATGCACTAAAGGCACAAACCATAGTAACTGGACATAGCATATGTCCCCAAAATGGTTATCATTATCACTGCTATAGTTTAGACTTCTCCCTTTTGTCTTGGGTTGTGCTGTAAACGTTAGCCACTAAATTTGGGTAGCAGATCCCAAACAATGCACACATCGCCTGCAATTTTGCTGTGTAATACAAGCCCAGGGAGGTCCCAAAGAGCTTTAGCATTCAAAGAAAGAGCCTGCCTTCTTTCCAGGTGGTACCTTGGAAAGACAAGGGCTGGCCCAACAGGGGTGGAGAAGGTCTGGTGATTTTGCCAGGAAGCAAGAGAATAAGAGCATGGACACATGGTCCTCTGGACTTTGGAGCTTGTCTGACATGCCCTTCAAGATAGGCGAGAAGCAGATGGTCATGATGAGAGCCCCGGGCTCAAAGGCTTCCATGGGATGAATGGAACAGAGGAGGAAACCTCCAACCTGCCACACCACCCCAGGCTGAAAAGCTTATCCTTCCCAGTTCAGAGAAAGCACACAGAAGGCAGCCTGCAACTGTCTCCCATTTGGAGAAACAGCTATTTCCAAAGCTTCCTAACCACACTCCACTGTGCCTTGGAAAAGGAACATGTAAGTAACGGTTTGCAAGCTGCCAAGAGCGTGGGTTTCACAGCGCACATTGCAAAGCTCACGCCTGTCACCACAAGACGACAAGTGTGCTCTCCACGTCTCTCTTTCCCCTTCTAGATCTTAAAGGGTTACGCCTGGAAATTGCCTCGCTGTGCTTCTGGGACAGTATGAAGGATGACTGCCATTGCCACGGTCAGCTATGACAGCGCCAATTTGATGTGCTGCCATCAAGGGCCTTCTAAGAGCTGAGCGCCCTGATGGTTTTGTGATGCGAATAGTCACATTGCAAAATGGTTTTCCTCTCCCGCTGCCTCTGCCTCCATCTGCTGCTGGGCTAAAGGCACAGCCGGCTGCCTGCCTGTCACAGCATGTATTAAAATTAGCTGGGGAGGAGGCACTCAGTTGTGCTAATTACATTTTAATCATTGGAAATGTGTTGGCAAATCAAGCCTTGATTGCCATCTCGGAGTCTGTCTCCTCCAGCAGAGTGGAGGGGCTGTCTGCATTCGGCAGGGCCTGCTGGGCTTTCTCCTTTCACAGAAGATAGACTGGGGGCCCTGCTGGCCCACCACTGAGACCGCTTTGGCACATTATTAAAAAGCCACAAGGCTTGTTTCAAATCATCCCTGTGTGAGACCCGCTCATTCTCACTTCCCTGGGCATTCCAGCAACTTGGTACTTTTAACTATAGCTTTAGTGGGCTGCAGTATCTCGCGGGCTCCAAGTATGTATGTATCAGAGGCAGGGGCTGGGGCACATGAGGCTGCAATCATGTCTTCCCAGCACCTGGGAATCAAGAAGAAGCCTGCTGACATAAGGAACTGTCCCTCGGGTGTGGACCACGACCGCAGCCGGCGCTGTGTCGGCAGGGCTACAGCAGCAGCTGGGATGAGGTTGGGAAAGAACATATTTTGTGGGCCATTGTGGGTTGCTGGACAGGTTCATGGAGCTGAAGATCATTGCTTCTCCCTGGGGTTAGGAGGCTAGTGAATTAAAGTCTGTGTTCCAAGCAGCAGGGAAATCCGAAGACAGTCTCTTTTCAAGTAAGCAGTGCCTGCTTCTGCTGCCAGTTGCTACCAGCCAACAGGAGGGAGAAACTAGCTAGCTTGGATAAGACCCATTCAAAAGAGCCCACCTGGAGCAAGCCACTGGCCCTCACTTGCCAAATGGGCTGGGTGTGCAGAGGCAACTCACATTAGAAATGCTCACTACTGGGGAGCTCCTGTTTCCTGAGGCTTGTTTGTTACAGACAGGACAAACGGAGAAACCTAATAATGTAAAATATGAAGCAAATTTATTTCCAAAGTGTGATGGGTTGTGGTAGTTATGCTATTGAAGGCACTGCATCTGAGGTTTAATTACATGTAATCAGGCTGGGATATGACAACTCTTTTAACTGTACGTATCTTCTTTTCTAAAAACTGACTCTTGAACCATAAATGATAGACTTTATGAGGGGGACTTCAAAAAAAATCTGTGAAAAAAATGAAATTAAGGTACATGTTTATTTTAGTGCAAAAAATTGTGAAATTCATATAGTTTTGTCATAATAAGCATTTCCTGTGGACTCTGAGAATTCCTTGCATTACTGGGTCTGAGAGAAAATGTAGGTAAGGAAAAAAAGCACCTTCATAATAACACAAAATTAAACTCTGCAGTAATGTAGAAAGGAAAAGAAGTGGAGCAAAAGGTCCACAGACCCACTGGAACTAGGCACCCATTCTTGAGCAATCAAGAAGGGCTTTTCCAACACAGGTGGAGAATTTGAGCAGAAAAGGATTTCACAAGTCAAGCTTCAGAGGGGCCTGCAAATAGCAGGAGAGAACTCACCAGGCAGGGTTGTATGAGGACAGTAACATTCATCTTTGGATTGGTTTATGTATGCGTGTGTGTTGATGTGTGCACACACACACACACACAAGTTCCATGAGCTTAAGAATGGTTTGATGTATTCTACTCAAGGCTTGCTTTTCCCTGTAACTGTTGACTTTCTTTCCTTTTTAAAATTTTTAACTTTATTTCTGCTGCAAGAGAGAGAATGAGAAACAACCATCCCTATTAGGGTCCCCAACTTCAGTCACCCAAGATCATGGGCATGTGTGTGTGTACCTGGCATGTAAAACGAGGTCGTGAGATGCAAACCGAGGACCTTCCCATGTAGGTGCAATTGTGTTACTGTTGTACCACCATCTGGCCCATTTTCTCTGTAACTTTGACAGAGCCATGATATAGATGTCCCTCGACTCCAAACAGGAAAAAGAAAAGGCAGCAAAGAGACCTCGGAGTTACTGTGACCTTGTGAAAGTCCATTGAGTGGAGGTATTTTGGGGGAGCAGTATGGTAGATGAACACTGCAGATGACCAGATCCTAAACCCTGGATGTACCAAAATATTTTCTTTTTTGTCAGCATGAGCAAAACTAATTTAAAATACTGTATATACCGTTCCTATTTCAGTCAATAATTTCAGATGATTTAGTTTTCAATCTTGTGAGGAAAAGTAAATCTTATTAAGTCTGCTAATAACGCCACCATGCATTTGAATACTACCTCAAACTATGCAATACGCTTGCATGTGCCATCATCTCATGCTTAAGACTATGCTGTCACACAGGCAGGGAGGGGCATCTGACTGTATTTTTCAGTTGTTAGGATTGAAAATTCAGAGAGCAGGCATGGCTTGGCCAAGGCTCAACAGCTAGTGATGAGAGGGACCAGCACTAGGGTCTAGGCTGGCCCATAGTTTCATCTATGTAATGAAGGCATCATGAGGTTACTGAACAAAGAGAACCATGAAGGCCAGAGAAAAGCCATGAGATGTGAGCTGGTGCTCCTCGAAGGCTGGCAGGTTAGGTGAGCAGACCTCTTTCGAAACAGTCAACACTTAATCTCTAAGGGCATAGGTGAATACCCTGGAGAACCTATTTACTCTGTGGTAAAATGCAGTCATAGCATGACAATGTAGGCCCAAATGGTGAGCTCTTTGATCCTAAAGTGAAGAAGCCCACTTGGGGCCACATTGGACAGGCTGTCCTGGGAGACTTGGTAGCCTCCATTATAAGCTCTAAAGAGATAGGAAGGCCAGAAATCTTGTTAACTAAAGACTATAACTCATGCCTTGTGCCCTGGGATTTCTACCAATGTCCATAGGAGCTCAGCTGTACATCTTTTCCCTGAGAAGCAATCTCTCATGCAGTCTGAGCATGAAGCAGTAGTGGGACCTCTGTAAATGACGGGCCTTTTCAGTGTCATGCAACACATTTTGCTTGCTCTCCTTCTGTCCCATATTCTCTTTCCTGGGCAGTGAACAGACTTCTATTTCTCCCCTCTGAGAGACTCATAATTGTCTTCCTCCTGACACCGCATTCTGGAGGCCTATCAGATGAATATGAGCTTAATTTGCCTGATACCAGTTTGGGACCAACCTATAAATGTCTTTTGCCTCCCAGTTCTCAGAGGCAGAACTGACCAAATATCCAGATCACCTGTGTGAAAACTCCAACCTGTCAGGCCCACTGTTGATTACCTCTGATAGGAGGATGTCACTAATTGTACGTACATCTCTACGTGAGCTTTGATTAAAATGGCTCTTCTTATTTGGTCTTCAGAAAAACGCAACAAATAATTCACTGCCTCTGTATCTGTTGCTCTACATAATGGACCAATGAAATTAGCTTTCGAGAGCATTGGGGAAAGGAGAGGTAACACATGCTGACATAATACTAGGTGCTGGCCTAATTTCTTTTTCTTTTTTTTGGAGAGTTTTTCGCTATAGGGTGCGTGCACTCGCCAGACAGACAGAGAGAAACATAGAGACAGAAAGTGAGAAATCACCCCCCAGGGGGGATGGTCACACCACAATCCCTTCTCCTCCATTCTCCTCTCGGGATCTTGGGCACACACACACATGCGCCCGGCGTGAGTTTTAAGTCACCGGGTCTGGGACACGAACCACGGTCGACTACGTGGGAGTCTAGCGACATAGCCATTACACTAACTGCTGGTTCCCATGGCCAACTTTCTATATGTTATCCTACTTAACCTTTGCTTTAATCCTACGAGGTAAACAGTATTATTCTCTTGCTAACAAACACAGAAAATTTTTAGAAAGGTTACTCAACTGCTTAGGATTCAAATTCAAGAGACTATGACTAAAGATCTCACTTTCTTTCCACTCCAAAAGTACTATGTAAGAAAAAAAAAGTAAAACAAACAAACAAAAAAACGGTATCAGGCTGGCCCCAGAGTGTAGTGGTTAAGTACAGAGCATTGTGAGCCAGATATCACATGGCTAACTACGCTTTGAATACTGGCCCTGGTGTCTTGAAAAACACATTGGGTTCAGGTATGTGCATGTCCAAGATCCTGATGGAAAAGAGAAACTGAGGCAAAAAGGATTGGAGCATAACCATTCTATGTTGAGGGGAGGAGGAGGTGTGATTTTTTCTCTCTCTCTTTGGTGAGCTCTTTGACAATTAAAAAAAAAAAAAAGAAAAAGAAAAAGAAAAAAGAAAAAAAATCATACATAGGAAACCCCAAGGTGGAATCACAGAGAGGCAAAGAGAAGATAAGAAGACATTGCAAGCTTATCCCCAAGACACATTGCTCTTGCATCATCTTTCATAATTATTTACAAATCATATTACGTTGCCTGCAGTAAAACCTGGGTTCTCTGTAAAATGGAAAGTAGGAAACACTGAAACTCCTTCATTCTATTCTACTTGCTTTAACATAGCTGCTGGCTCTCCAAGACTTTTCACCAGGTCCCCTATAAAAGCTAGCTTGCCCCAGGGCCAGCTCTGGCTCTAATCTAGACATTACCTCTCTGTGTCAGCAATCATTTACTGAAGACCTCCTTTTTTTAGGATAAAGAAGTGAATAAGACACATGTGCTACCTACCTGAAATAACTTATATTCTAGATTGGTGAGATAGTTCAGCTATCTAGAACATTCCAGTTACCTAAATACACAGGCTGTTTGAAGACAAGAAAAGATTTGCTCTTACTTATACTGGAATCTTTGCTGGGAACAGAATCCTCAAATGTGTCAATCAATGAATGCAGAGAAGACTGCAGGTGAGCTTTTCTTCGACTCTCTCCTAGCTCCCAGTTCGGCCAGTAGCACTAGTTCGGACATACTCATATTACTTTAATAATGACACATAAAAGCTGCACCTACACAGCAGTCAAGGTGCTATGGACATATCTGGTGAGTTGCCAGGATGATTCCAAACACCCACCATCTAAAAGCATGAAAAAGCTGAAAGAGGCTGCACTTTATAATGCTCTCATCTAGAAGGAGTCATGTCCACCAAAGCTTCTGGTTAGGCTAATCAGCTTTCTTACTCAGAGATAGTACTACTCTATAGATACATATATCACCTTAGACTTTCTTGCCCTACAAAAATCCTTGAGAAGATTTGCTTAACAAAATGATCTGAGACCTAGAATTCACTTAATTTCTTATTATTAATCTAGGCATGCTCTACTCTCTAATCTAAAACTGGAATTTCCTGGAAGCTACAACTGAGAGCATAAGGACTTTCCCCCTGGTCTGCTTCCAGACACTAGGGCAGACTTTCCAGGGGACAGTTTGTAGAAGGCCAAAATTGTCACCTTGGATATAAGGAAGGAGATTAATCTCCTTCAACAATCTTTGGCAGAACTGGCTGTTTGTCCTCTGTGTTCCCCAATATCACCACTTTGTTCATAGCTTCGTTTGGTGCATACATGTTGTACATAATTATGTTTTCATATTCTCTAACTCCTCCTATGTACTCCTCCTGAGTACATAGCAGGTTTCTTATAACTGTGTATTGACTGAGACTTGAAATCACCCATTAATATATGAAAATATTTCTTACTCTCACTTGTATATATTGGCTATATTATTTTTGGTGTAATGAGTTTTATAGGTGACTGTATATTAGAAACTCTTTCATTAGTAAGATACATCTTTCAAAGTGTCCGGACAAGCTTCCACATTCTAGTTTTATATAATCTGATAGGTAATGTGTGTTTATCTAAACCATGTCTTTTTATCATTTGTGCAGTGTCTTCTTGCCATTCTCTAGATACTTGTTTCTAGATTTAAAGCCCTTTTTCAGTAGCAATTTCATCTGCACATCACTTTAGCTATCTTTCTCGAGACTTGCTCTGTTAGGATTTTTTTGAGGTTTGTTGGTGAGTTGTACATATAGTGCACTAGAAATGAGGAAGGTTGGTCTGAAACTGTACATTTTGAGAGGCCAGGGGTACATACTGAGCAGAAATATTCTTCTGCAGTTAGTTATATAGCTCCCTTCTCCCTTTTTTAGCCAAATTCTATTTTGCCCAGGGCATTAAAATGTTTAATTACAAATAATTGATTTCCTTAGTTCCTCTGCATGTAGAAGGTATCCATTTGAGGCAGTTCTGGCCAATGTTGATGCAGTTGGAAATCCTTGAAGAGAGCATCCCTTCCTGAATAAAAAGGCAAAGCCTTTTTAGAAGTACTTTGTAAGGTTGCCTCAAAATTTACTTGCAAAAAGTAAAGAACGAGTGGTGTAACACTCATCCACATCCCAGCCAAGAGGAAATAATTGCTTCCTATGCTTCTAACTTCCTGATACAGATCTAACTTCTAATATACTCAACTTTTCTCACTGTAAACACTGTTCAAGTGCATGAGCCCCAGAACAGGTTCCTGAGTAGCTTGCTTTGGAGTTTGATTTCCCAGTTGAATTGGCGTTCAAATTTTCTTGAAGATTAAAGGGATAATTTATGAAAGACATATGGAACGGAAGGTCTACCACTATATAGCCCTAACCCCTTTTTCTCTAACCACTAGATCACACCAGTCACTATTTTCATTAGTATAATGTGTGAAAAATAATACATGTGGGTCAGCTACTTGGTGGGGTGGTTAAGGTGGCTAGATCCCACATGGCCAACTGTGCCATTCAACTCCCAGATCCAGAGGGACTTGCCAGGTGCTTGTGCATGTCCAAAATTCCAAGAGGAGAGTGAAGGAGAAGGGATTATGGTGTGGTTGTCCTCCTTGAGGGGTGCTTTCTCTCTTTCTCTCTCCCTCCTCCCTCCCGTCTCTCCCTGTAGACTGTGCGTACCCTGTAGCAAATTTTAAAAAATAAAAAAAATAGTTTTTTAAAAGAACACATCTCTGCTGTATAAATTTTAGTACAACATTCTAGCTCAGAACCAAAGGCTAACACACTTCTGATGTAACATTGGCATTTTTCCTAAATTAGGCTTTCCTCTCCAGTCGAATGCTTATCAAGATGAAATGACTCATTGTACAAGCAGGTAACTACTTCTCTAAATCAATAATACCCTGTACCCTGATGGAAGACATTGTGGGAATGCACAGCCACACACCTGTATCAGCCACATGCACACACACCACATGAGAAATCTTAGAAACTTATGTATATATAAATAAATGTCCATGCACAGGTAAATCTTTCTCCAAACTGATAATCTATATTCTTATCCATGTGAACACATTTAATGACCAGGCAAAAGTCATTTTTCAGACTATGAGTTACTGTATATACATAAATGCATATTTAAATATATCAAGTGAGAACTTAAAGTCCTGACTTGTATGTGCATATACCAACATATTTATATACAACGAATGACTGATCTTTTTTCAGAGTTATAACAAGAAGTATAGTAGGGAGAAACACAGTTATATTTAGTGATGAATCTTTTCCAGACATTTTCTTTGGTACCTTCATTGCATTCAAAAGTAGTGCCATAAGGTGGTTAGACCATTAGCCCAAATGGAACCTTCAGGGCCACGCACACCACTGTTTTCAAATCTGTTCTTTCATGTGATGTGCCAGTTAAAATTACTTCTGCAACATGGTCAGAATGAACCTGGGTGGATTTATAATACCTCAAACTGCTATCGGCATATTTCTGAGAATCATCTAGAGAGGGAAGATAATTTTCTTTAGGTTGGAGGTAATTCTTATGCTTGCAATGAAATTTTGAGGGTGTGTGTTTAAATAGGAAGGCTGCAGAACACAAAGCATGCCTGATGCAACTGGTGCAGCATGCAAAGGAAGCCAATAGCAAGGTGTGTGGCAGTGGTTCCTATCTCAATAGTGCGAAGCTCTGACCCAGCTTCTCTCCCTGATCCCTAGGTGTAAGAGTTCCTGACTATTTCCACTCATTATCAGTCGCAAGCAACTTCCTGCTGGGTGGGGAGGGAAGCAAGTAATTTACAGCCATATTCTGTCAGCAAAACTGTGATGATTATCAATGATTGTTCCCTGAACACCCAGAATGCACCAGACACTGTAAGTAAGCACAAGATGTTTTCAAGGGGTTAAATAGAGTTCTTCCCTATGCTCTGATTAGAACTTCCTATTTCCCTCCCTTTCTTTTTCCTTTTTGACTTAAGTTTATCTTCTTACAGGGAGAATCTAGGAAGGGCATTTATTCTCTACCATTCTTGAATGTCTCCTCAGTTTTTTTAATAGTTTTACTCTCATTCTAATCTTGTGGTCCTCACTGAACCCATCCCATGAATCATTTTCTGAGCAGACTCTGATCACCACCATACCTGCCTCTTCCTTTGCAATGCTATGAATTGGAAAAGTAGGGGAACTTTTTAAGTGATGTGTTGCTAACATAATTATACATCACCTCCAATATTCTTTATATTTTAAAACCTCAAATATCCTTCAAGAAAAAAAAAATGTGAACCAGGGAGCCAAACGATGATCTTCCATACAGATCCCGCAGCACTTGAGCAGCGTGTTACTGCTACACCACTAAGCTGGCCTCCTGACCTGTTCTTGTTATGATACTCTCAAAAAGAACCCAGAAAAGAATGATGCCTTGTATTGGTCAGAAAAAATTACAACATGAAATCATTGCAAAGACAGCTACAAAAAGGAGCCTGGGAAAGCTGAGGCAGATAGCAGTGTAATTCACAGGGTGTAGTTAACATAAATTCTTCCACATTGCATTTGGTTTAAGGGGAGAGAAGAGATGACTTTCTATTAATATTCTAAAATCTTCAATTTCTGACAACATTCTGGCTAAATTCGCTGCCCAAACTACTTGTGTATTATATTACCTCCTCAACAGCCATAATACCTATTGCATACGGCTTACAATGTCAGCTTTGCTCTGCGTAACATAGGAGCCGTAACAGAGTTTAATCAGAGCCTGGCTTTTCCACAACTTACTGATATTTGGCCAGCACAATTTTTGGCATGTGCAGAAAGTCCTTGATGTCCATAAGGCGAATGACAACTTAACAAATCAGTAGCTTTTGGGTACTTATGGAAAGGTTGAGAACAGGCCAGCTGCTTCCTCTATTGGAGGTGATGCATGGTTAATTTCTTTATTTTAGCATACTGTACACAGATGCGGCTGGGTTGTTAATTTTGCTTTGCTACCAAGAGTTACAAGGTATCAGCTATCCGCTGATTTATTTGAAATTCTCCCTGGAACACATCAGAATTTTAATTGTTTCCTGAATTTCTGCAACAGAAGAAGAACTGATGTCACTGGAAAATGCCTTGGGTCCCTGCTGACTGCAACTAACTCCCAGTGACTGATTTCCAATTGATACAGATGAGGCCTGAGAGGCAGCACACATAGATACACCCACATGAGCCCAGCAGCCCAGTAATGGCTAACAGGGATGATGAGGGAGACCAAACATTTCTTTCCAACAACTCATCAAGTATATTGTTCTTCTCAACAGATGTAACCGGTGGGGCCCAACATAGATGCTGGCAGAAACAGATGGTGCCGCGGGGCAGCTCTCTGTTCCTTGCTCCCTGGGATGGGCTCTGCAGGATGGGGAAAAGGGCTTGTGTGCAGGCGGGTGGGACAGGGCTGTGTTTTCCAGCAGCAGGTAAAATCCATTTGTCACACCAGCTCCAACTGGGTTTTCAGCACAGAAGTTAATATCTGAAACCAATGAGGCATTCTGTCCTCCCATTGCAGGGAAGCAGGGGGAAGCCTCTCGCTCACCATGTCCTCTGAGAGGAGGGAGGGACAGAAGGAAGGATGGGGATGGCAGGTCAGAAAGGCAGAGGGAGGCCTGGTGAGGGAGGGAGACAGATGAAAACATAGGCTGGGCTTGCAATGCCTTTAAAGGCTTTGCTTTCTAGCATTTCTCTTTCAAAACAAGATGGCAGGCAGTGAAGGGAGAAAAGGAAGAGTTTTCTCTTAAATATCTTCAGGGGGAGAAATGCCATTGTCACAGGCCAGCATCACCACCAAGACCACTGACACCCTCACAATCACCACTATAATCATCACTCCCTCCCCCACCAAAAAAAACTTTTGGAGGAAATAAAAAAGTGGATTTTCTTTCTCTGTTCCTAACAGAGTTTCAGCAATCTCATAAAAGCAGCCTCTACATATATTCACTCAGTCTGAAATATGAATACACACAACAGCAATAAATTTCCATTGCCTCCAACTTTGAACATTGCCAAGGGATGTGGCACAGAGGAATTTTATGAGCAGGCCTTCAGCTGCCAGGATCCCACCTTCATAAAGAAGAGATTTTAGTCCATTCTGTCTATTTATTTTGTGTAGAGAAATCAAGGGCAATAAACCATGAAGAAATTCACTCTACCTTATTCCATTTCACACTTTTGTCAACCACGCTTTATCGAGTATCTGAATGAATTTTTAATATCATGCCACAAAATGCTTTGGTCTTCTATCATATGCTGGGACTCTATCAATCTGATAACACTGGGGAGTTCTGAGAGATACTCAGCACTGAAGAAAACAGCTTTAAAGTTTAGTCATTCTGATGGAATGTAAAAGCTTATATCAGTGACAGGTTGACAGAAAAAGCTGTTTTCCTTTCCATTTCACAGACTTCCACGTATGAACGCCATGAAACATGTCAGGACTTTCTCTGAGTCTATGAAGACAGGGATGGCATCTGCTCCCAGTGGGAAGCCCTTCTAACCAGTAATACTATAAAATTTCATGACTCTGAATTCTGACTGACATTCAAAAGGGCAGGGAGGAGGTGTTTACTATATTTTATAGAACAACATCAATTGCTTGTCTTGGCACATAAATATAGTTTTATGGTATACAATGCCACCTCAAGCATCTTTCCTCTCTCTCTTTCTCACTCACCGAAAAAAAAAAAAATCACAATCCGTTTGTGTTAACCAAAGAGGTTTCTAATTTTCTACTCTGGGTAGGAAGGAACTTATATTTGCATTTTCCCTGAACTATACACTTTCTTGGCTCCTTCAGGAAGCTAGGGGTGTAAAGGGTAGCTGTTTCCACTGATTCCAAGAACAACCCATAGATTTCATATTGCAGCAGAACTTCTGCCCCAGTTTCTAACTGCTGCCCCCTAATTCCTATTGGATTTGTGTAGAAGCAGGAGTTAAGCCAAAATGTTGGTGAAACCCATTTCCATTGTTTTGGCTACAGCAGTGTCTTCCTTTTCCAATATTGATAGTCTTAGCTGTTAAGATGAACTATATAGCTGTGTCAATATGTAACGATGATAACTAGGCATATACAGCAGTTAATAAACATGCCAAGGACTAACAGGACTTCCTATTTCTTCACCTGTCCAGAGACCTGCAATGAGACACTTTCAGATTAAGAGGTAGTGGGTAGCACAGCCACATAACTCCATGTGCCCAAATAACTCTTGCTCTGTTTGCTTGAACCACCCATTCTTAAAAGGCTTAAAAAGCTGGAAGGAGACCCTGATTTGAAAAGGCAATATAACATCCCTCTGAGTTCGCTAACTATCCTGAACCCCCCCCCATCCCCCACCATGGAAGAGATAAATTGGACAAAGGAATCTTCAGAACAAAGAGAATACAACTGAGTATTTCCTTAAAAAAAGGAACCAGCAGTTAGCGTAATGGCTATGTCGCTGGACTCCCACGTAGTCGACCACGGTTCGCGTCCCGTTCCTGGTTTAAAACTCACACCGGGCACGTGTGCGTGCGTGCCCAAGATCCCGAGAGGAGAATGGAGGAGAAGGGACTGCGGCGTGACCATCCCCCCTGGGGGGTGATTTCTCACTTTCTGTCTCTATGTCTCCTCTCTCTGTCTGTCTGGCGAGCGCATGCGCCCTAGAGTGAAAACCTCTCAAAAAAAAAAAAAAAAAAAAAAAAGAGAAAATATGAATACACACAACAGCAATAAATTTCCATTGCCTCCAACTTTGAACATTGCCAAGGGATGTGGCACAGAGGAATTTTATGAGCAGGCCTTCAGCTGCCAGGATCCCACCTTCATAAAGAAGAGATTTTAGTCCATTCTGTCTATTTATTTTGTGTAGAGAAATCAAGGGCAATAAACCATGAAGAAATTCACTCTACCTTATTCCATTTCACACTTTTGTCAACCACGCTTTATCGAGTATCTGAATGAATTTTTAATATCATGCCACAAAATGCTTTGGTCTTCTATCATATGCTGGGACTCTATCAATCTGATAACACTGGGGAGTTCTGAGAGATACTCAGCACTGAAGAAAACAGCTTTAAAGTTTAGTCATTCTGATGGAATGTAAAAGCTTATATCAGTGACAGGTTGACAGAAAAAGCTGTTTTCCTTTCCATTTCACAGACTTCCACGTATGAACGCCATGAAACATGTCAGGACTTTCTCTGAGTCTATGAAGACAGGGATGGCATCTGCTCCCAGTGGGAAGCCCTTCTAACCAGTAATACTATAAAATTTCATGACTCTGAATTCTGACTGACATTCAAAAGGGCAGGGAGGAGGTGTTTACTATATTTTATAGAACAACATCAATTGCTTGTCTTGGCACATAAATATAGTTTTATGGTATACAATGCCACCTCAAGCATCTTTCCTCTCTCTCTTTCTCACTCACCGAAAAAAAAAAAAATCACAATCCGTTTGTGTTAACCAAAGAGGTTTCTAATTTTCTACTCTGGGTAGGAAGGAACTTATATTTGCATTTTCCCTGAACTATACACTTTCTTGGCTCCTTCAGGAAGCTAGGGGTGTAAAGGGTAGCTGTTTCCACTGATTCCAAGAACAACCCATAGATTTCATATTGCAGCAGAACTTCTGCCCCAGTTTCTAACTGCTGCCCCCTAATTCCTATTGGATTTGTGTAGAAGCAGGAGTTAAGCCAAAATGTTGGTGAAACCCATTTCCATTGTTTTGGCTACAGCAGTGTCTTCCTTTTCCAATATTGATAGTCTTAGCTGTTAAGATGAACTATATAGCTGTGTCAATATGTAACGATGATAACTAGGCATATACAGCAGTTAATAAACATGCCAAGGACTAACAGGACTTCCTATTTCTTCACCTGTCCAGAGACCTGCAATGAGACACTTTCAGATTAAGAGGTAGTGGGTAGCACAGCCACATAACTCCATGTGCCCAAATAACTCTTGCTCTGTTTGCTTGAACCACCCATTCTTAAAAGGCTTAAAAAGCTGGAAGGAGACCCTGATTTGAAAAGGCAATATAACATCCCTCTGAGTTCGCTAACTATCCTGAACCGCCCCCCATCCCCCACCATGGAAGAGATAAATTGGACAAAGGAATCTTCAGAACAAAGAGAATACAACTGAGTATTTCCTTAAAAAAAGGAACCAGCAGTTAGCGTAATGGCTATGTCGCTGGACTCCCACGTAGTCGACCACGGTTCGCGTCCCGTTCCTGGTTTAAAACTCACACCGGGCACGTGTGCGTGCGTGCCCAAGATCCCGAGAGGAGAATGGAGGAGAAGGGACTGCGGCGTGACCATCCCCCCTGGGGGGCGATTTCTCACTTTCTGTCTCTATGTCTCCTCTCTCTGTCTGTCTGGCGAGCGCATGCGCCCTAGAGTGAAAACCTCTCAAAAAAAAAAAAAAAAAAAAAAAGTGAGCACCTTTATCATTTGGAAGCCAGAGAGATATAGACAGGAATAAAGTCAAATAAGGGAGAAGTCAAGAGACTGAGGAGACTTGATGATAAGCCAACAATCTCCACTGGTAGCATACTGTGAAGAAGGAAGGAAGGATATAAAACAAAGAGGACAAATTCTCCAATGGCTCTTTGAAATCATGCATTTAAACAGGGGTGAAAGAACCCCCTAAGGGAGAGAAAAGCAGATCTTGAAAGTGAAAAAAAATCACATATCACAATAGTTGTTGTGATCCTAAACACAACAGCCATTTCAAAGAATATATAAAAGATTCTTGGGAACCAGCAGTTAGCATAATGGCTATGTCGCTGGATTCCCACGTAGTCGACTGCGGTTCGCGTCCCGGACCCGGTGGCTTAAAACTCACACCGGGCGCGTGTGCATGCGTGCCCAAGATCCCGAGAGGAGAATGGAGGAGAAGGGATTGCGGCGTGACCATCCCCTCTGGGGGGTGATTTCTCGCTTTCTGTCTCTCTGTCTCTCTCTGTCTGTGTGGCGAGCGCACGTGCCCTATAGCGAAAACCTCTCATAAAAAAAAAAAAAGATTCTTTGAGTGGAGGAGAGCATTATGAGCAAAAGGTTGATAACATTACTCTAAGTGCATCAAAAATATAGTTTGGGGACCAGCAGTTAGCGTAATGGTTATGTCACTGGACACCCATGTAGTCAACTGTGGTTTGCATCCTGGACCCCGTGACTTAAAACTCACTCCGGACGCGTGTGCATGCATGCCCAAGATCCCAAGGAGAATGGAGGAGAAGGGATTGCAGTGTGGCCAAACCCCCAGGATATATATATATAGTTTGTGTGCCAAAAACCCCACTTGAAGAAAACTTTTTATGAAATAACCATTGGTAAATAAATTTTCTGTAAGCTATGGGTCGTGGTTGTACTGGGATGTAATGTGACTAGATTTAACTGCACATGGTAGGCATACAAATATATGAAATTCATTTACTCTTCCTAGCAATTCATTGTGCAAGATTTTATTGTTTGTATTTTATAGATGAGAAGGCTAGGACTCAGAGAGTATAAGTGGGCAGTCTGGAGATTATGTAGCTATTAAGTGGAAAAGTCCAGACTTAAATGTAGGTCTTTATCGCCTATTTAAATTGGACCCAGTGAATTCCAATCACCTCTACAATACTCTTTATCAATTCAAAGGTGAGGTGGGGTGACAGATGATAGATTTTATACTTGAGTCTTAGATATTATTATAAAACAAGAAAAATACAGATTGGGACATGGAGACTAAGAAGAAATTAGGTGTGCAGAAGATGTAAGAATTCTCTTTTTCTTAAAATATTACAACCCTATCCATGCCACTAGGTTTTCTGGACTAATAATTTCTTGCTTTTTGTTTTTGAACCTGGGTATGAATGTTTTTAAGCCTTTCTCCAAATCAGTTCTTTAAAAATCTGGCCAGCAATCTGAGATCTTTGATTTCCTTCCAAAAACCTCTCTATAAACACACAAGTTGAACCAAAAAGACTGAAGTATCTACACATGTTTAAGAGGACTCACACTGTCCTGCACGTAAACAAAGCTGTAATGAATTTTGTATCAAAACATTCTGCCAAGCCTTCCTTACTCTTTTGTGTCTCTGCTCACTATCTCTGGAAAAGAAGACCCTGTAGGGAGCCAAAGAGATAGAGTCCACCATCCTTCACCCTCCTTAAGTAATTTCTTTTATTTGAGAGAGTGAGAGGAGAATGGATGGGAATCTTGAAATCTTAGAGGTGGGGCATATTTGGGCTACTTTTACATGGGAATGCTTACTAAAAAGCAGATACCTGGCCTTGGTAGGCACGCAGGCAACAACGGATTATTGTTCCAGTTAGTTTCAACATGAAGTGCCAGGGCACAGTATTTAAATTAACAGCCTAGACTAAGAGCAGCAGGGAGTCTCAAGGCCCAACATGCAGGGTGGGTGGTGAGACCCTGCCCAAATTTCTAGACATAACTCCAGTGTTAGCAGCTGGTCTTCTGCATCTTTGCCTAGAGT